CTCTAAAAACAGTCTTGGCCCTTTGCCCACTGTCACCTCCCTTCTTCCAGTTTCCCAGTTACATGGATAACTTGTTCTTTGTCATGGCGGCTGGACCAGCTCCCTTGCTATCCAGCTTTAGAGGTTGTCCACTGATGCCTGTCTCCTGCAGTCAGGCTGCCAGACCTCCCACTATACTCTGACCAGCAACCCTACAGGAAGCATCTCCTCAGCAACACAATCCTACAAGTTGGAACAACAGTCTGTGGGCGGGTCTCTGTAGATTCATCATTCTCCAGGTATCAATCAGGTTATCCTGGCCACTGTTTGACAAACAGAGGGAGAAACCAGAAGGCCTCTTTGACCTAGGTTCCCCCTTCATTTGCTCTGTAAGGCACATGAGTCTCCTTAAAGGGCTGGAACCCACTGCCCACTTCCAGCTCCCACTCCAGAGGACCTTGTACAAAGGCTGCCCCTTCAGTTTGGATTATTTCCCTCTCAAGTGTCTGCACAGGGCCCCCTCTTCTGCCTCTTTCACCTTTGCTCAAGGGTTATCTTCCTGACCACTTCTACCTTGATTTACCTTTTAAACCATAAACCTAAACTGGAAATCGATACACAGAAGGAAAAAAATTGGATCCTTAGCTCACACCATACACAAGAATCAACTCAAAGTGGATTAAAGACTTAAACATAAGCCATGAAACTATAAAACTACACAAATAAAACATAAGAGAAAAGATAGATAACATTATTCTGGGCAATGATTTTCTTGATCCAAAAGCTTAGACAACAAAAGCATAACTAGAACAACAGGATTCCTTTTCACTAATGAACTCTTGTGTAACAAGTCAAACAATTAACAGAGTACATAGCGGACCTACGGACAGGCAGAATAATCTGCAAACTATAAATCTGGTAAAGAGTTAATATTCAAAATATATAAAGGACTCAATTCAATAGCAAGAAAACAACCTTATTTAAAAATGAGCACAGGACCTGAATAGACACTTTCAAAAGATCTTCTTTTGAAAAATGCATGCAAATGACCAAGAGATAATGAAAAAAAAATGCTCAATGTCCCTAACTATTAAGGAAATGCAAATTAAAATCACAATGAGATATGTCATCTTGCACCTAAAGGCTATTATGAAAAGGTAAAAGATAACAAGTGTTGGTGAGAACATGTCAAAAAGGAAAACCTGTACATTGTTGGTGAGACTGTAATTCAGTGTAGACATTACTGTGCTAGTTAGGAAAACTGTATAAAAGTTCTGAAAAAAAATCCCAGCCTTCGGGGCACTGTCAGCAACATACTGAATGTGGTGCTGGAAGCCTGGCTGGTTCAGATCCCTGGTACAGTCCACCTGAAACACACCAGGCATGCACACATGTGCTCAAGATCCTGAGGAGCTAGGAGGGGATTACAGTTGACAAGACGCTGTTAAGAGTATTTCTCTCTCTCACTCTCTTTCACGGGCATGCACGTTCTCTGTCTCATGAATACATTTTTTATTTAAAAGGTTAAACAAAAAACTAAAAATATAATGATCATATTGCTATGATTTGAATGTGTCCCCCAAACAGCATGTGTTGGAAACTGAATCCCCAATTCAACAGCACTGGGAGGTAAGGCCTGGCGTGACCTATGGGAGGTGATTAGACCTTTGATGCCTAGAATAGCATGGCTTGAGGCTGCCAGCTGGAACTCTCCTTCTCTTGTTCCCACTCTTCCTTGCCTTTTTTGCCTATTCCATGGGTTGATACTGGCACCATGCTCTTGCAGGTACAGAAGGACCAGTACTGTATAATCTCATAGTCCAGGCTCCTGAACTATGAGAAATGCATTTTTTTTCCTTAAAAATTACATAGTCTTACTCATCATTTTGTTCCTAATGGAAATATCTGAGCTTGGATAATCTATAAAGAAACAGAAGTTTGGGACCAGCAGATGGTATAGTGGTTATATTGCTGGACTCCATGTAGTGGACCATGACTGGAGTCCAGGACCCAGCAGCTTGAAACTTGTGCCGGGTGTGGGTGCGTGTGTGCCCAAAATCCTGAGAGGAGAATGGACAAAAAAGGATTGTGGCATGGTCATCCTCTCTGGGGGCGGGGAGAAGGTATGATTTCTCATCTTCTGTCTCTCTGTCTCTCCGGCAAGCACACGCACCCTATAGGAAAAATCTCTCTAAAAAAAGGAAAAGAAAGAAAGAAAGGAAGGAAGGAAGGAAAGAAGGAAGGAAGGAAGGAGAAGAAACAGAGGTTATATTACCTCACCATCTTGGCCATACAGAAGGCATCACAGCAGAAAGTAGGAATTTGAGCAGAACAGTGTCCATTAATTTCTGTCTGCTCTGGGCTCTTTCCTGTCTTAGAAAGACTGTAGAATGCAATTGCAGGGGTCTAGCCATAGTGATTTTACCATACCCAAAGGTCCTCACCCTAGAATATCATGCCATCAGGGGATTAAGTTTTCCATTAACGGCTTAAAATACAACTAAGTCCCAGCACATTCATTTTGAGGGGCATTCGAATTATAGCATCTAGTCTGTGGTATTCTGTTACAACAACACAAAACAGACTAAAACACACGTGATCTAGAAATTCCACTTCTGGGTGTGTAACCAAAAATCAGTATGTTGAAGAGATTTCCACATTCCCAGGTTCACTGAAGAATTATTCACAATAGCCAAGGTATGAAAGTAAACTCTCCTATCAGTAAGCAAATTAATAATTAAAAAAAATGCGGTGTGCATACACAGTAGAATACTACTTAGACTCAAAAAGGAAGAAAATTCTGTCATTTGCAACATGGGCAGAAGTAAAAGGCCTTATGCTAAATGAAAAAAGCCAGATACAGAAGGACAAATACTGTATGATCTCATTTATATGCTGGATCTATAATCAATGAACTCAGAGACTCAGAGAGTAGCAGAGTGGTTACCAGAGGACAGGGAATAGCAGTTGGTACAAGGGGTACAGAGTTTCAAGTAGGCAGGAAATAAGTTTTTTGAGATATATTACACATTGTCATGATGAGAGTATTAATAATGTATTCATGTTTCAAATTTGGTAAGAGTAAATTTTCTGATGTTCCCACTATAAAAAATGGTAAACATTTGAGGGGAAGTGTATGTTAATAAACCTGATTGAATTATTATTATTATTTTTTGTGTATCATAATATCATTTTATGCTCAATAAATATATATAACTATCAATTATATACACTTTATCAATTACTTCATTAACTATTAGTAATATAAACAATAAATAAGATAAATATATTTTTAATATATAATATATGTAATATAAATATATACAATAATTTTTTATTAATGGAAAGGTTTTTGCTATAGGGCACGTGCGCTCACCAGAAAGTCAGAGAGAGACAGAGAGATAGAAAGCGAGAAGTCACCCCTCAGGGAGGATGGCCACGCCACAATCCCTTCTCTTCTCGAGATCCTGGGCACGCAAGCATACATGCCTGGCGTGAGTTTAAGCCACCGGGTTCGGGACTTGAACCACAATTGGCTACATGGGAGTTCAGCGACACAGCCATTACGCTAACTGCTGGTCGCTATACAATAAAATTGTAAAGGGCAATTCTATGCTAAGTGAAAAAAATCAGACTTAAAAAATCACATGTCACATGAATTATTTGACATGAAATATTCAGAACGGGGAATTTCATGGACAGAAAGCAGACTGATGGTTGTCAAGGGTAGGAGGACAGGGGTGGGCAGTGCTTGCTTAATGGGTGCAGGGTTTGCCACTGGGGCGATGACAGTGCTTTAAAACTTGATATAGGTGGTGGCTGAATATTAAAAATGCAACTGAGAGGGTTCACTTTAAAATGATGATCCATTTTGTTATGTGAATTTCACCTCAGTTGAAAGAAATTGCAGCCTTACCGATCTGACTCCTTCGCTCAGCTCCATTCCCCACAGAACTTTTTGTTAGCACACTGTGTGATTCACTTATTTGTTTACTGTCCACCTCCCTCTCTCAGGTGCAGATTCCACGAGGGCAAGCCTTCCTTTGCACTGACACCATCCCCGGGCCAAGAACAGAGCAGGTCTTTAATAAATATGTGCTAAATAAACAGACGAGTGTATTATGTCTTTAATGCTTCATTCATAAACAATCCTCTGTATTTCTTGAATAACAAATACCAATAAATGGAGATGACTTAAAAATCCCAAAACACCAGGGTCAAAGGACCAGTACGGTCTCATCCAAAATAAATAAAATCAAGAGAGGAGGAAAAGTGACGTGTTTCCTACCAGAACTCCTCAGTCCACCACAGGAAAGCGAACAGATCACTTGACAAAGAGTCAGAGGGTTGGGAAGGTGTCAAGTGCGAGCATTGTGGCCATTTTTAATTTGCAAGGATTAGAAATGCCAACAAACATTGCGTATCTCTCTAAATTCTAAAGGGTGAGTCTGTACATTGGATTTAAACAAGAAGGAGTCCTGGAAAAAACAAGGTCGCTAGTAAATGGGCTGTTTCTGCTTCTGGGTGTCCTGCCCATGGATTCAATCACATGTGCCATAAGACAAGGCTTTCATTTCAAAACTGAGACACTACAGGCCAGCCCTGGCAGTGCGGCTGTAACACCTCTCTGCAAAACTAAAGCCCTCTAGGGGGGCTTCAAAACATTTTTTGAAAAATGGAATTAATGTACAAGTTAATTTTGATGTAAAATGTTTTGAAACCTACACACAACTTTTCATAATATGTGCATTTTTCCATAAGCTTTTTGAAGACCCCCTCATATGGGAGGGTCCCAAGTTCACTCCCAAGATCTCCCTGTGCATATGTGCCTGTGGTCCTGCCTGGCTGAGTCTGGGGCTAGGCTGGATCGTGGCATGAAGATCTTGATGGTGGAGCTTGTCTGTCTTTGTCTCTGTCCCTCTCTCTGTTTCTGTGTCTCTCTCCTCCGTCTCTCAAAAAGAAGTAACTGGATAAACTAGAAAAAAAAAAAAAGAAGAAGACTGAATCAAAAAAGAACGTACCAATGAGTTCCTTATTTCTGACGTCCAAGGCCATGTTCCGCAGTGCGGTGGCCACTGCGCACACCACACGGTCATTGTCTATCCGGAGCAGCTCCACGAGGATGGGCAGGCCTTTCTCTTTTCGGACAGCAGCTCGGATGTATACTGACCACTGCAAAAAGAGGGAAGGCAAAGCGCCTTAGACATGCAGGTGGAAGGCTCTTAAGCAAATAGTGTTTATGGGTTTTCAGACAGCTGTTTACAGGAACCACAAAGGTTGAATTACCAAGACCTAGTTGTAGAATAGGTGGAATATGTTAGACATGCATTTAAGCTTTTTAACTTTTTTTTTTCTGTTTTTTCTTTTTTCTTTTTGCCTTCTACATACAATAGAGGTTTCAGGGTTAATCAGTGTACCACATTTCATTTCTCTCAGTGCTTGAGTTCCAAAGCCATTTGCGTGATGTGCATACTTGATACTATTTGATACGGAGGTTTGGGATGGCCACTGGCATTCTGAATTAAAAGAAAAGAATCCTGAAAAACCAGAGAATGAGAATGGGTTGCATGTGGGAGATTTTTCAAAAGAGTTTAGATTTGGAGCAGGGTCACAGAGAAGGTTGCTAAGCATGCAGTCAGTAAGAAACTTGTTTAAAATAAAGAGTTTACTCTTTTTAAGTCAAGAGAAGAGGTACATTTGAATTTGAGAATTTGAGAGTGTAAGTAATTTAAAAAAATGTAAAATATCCAGGGCCATAATTGGATGTTTATTTACAAGGTAAGGCATACAATTTGTTTTGGGTTGGTGGTGACTGGCCTTCATGCAACACAGCTGATGCTTCATATTAGAACATATAGCAGGTCAGGATGACAAAGCATTCAGATTTGCTTAATAGAATGCAGTTTTTTTCCCAATTTCCAGACATTTGCGCCTGGGCTTTATTCTCTTCCCTAGTGTCTCAGAGAAGAGAATACAATATAAAAATCAACAAATGCAAGGGTTTAACCTGTTGCAATTTCATTTCTGGTATGAGACCATGACATTCACGCATGAGGTTTTGGTTTCTGTGGCAGAGTCCTCTTGGGATAGGTAGTTCCCCGCCCCGCCCCCGCCAGCCCTCTCCACCCCTTCCCCCACTGGGGCAGGCACCCCAGAGCTGGCTCTCACCTGTGGCAGGCAGGGAGCCCCCTCTGGCAGAGAACGTAGGGCATACGCCATGCCTGCCACATCCTCAGCCCAGCCCTGCATGAAATATGAGATTAAAAAAACAAACAACTTCATCCCATCCTAGTTAGAAGTCACATTCACATAGTTTCTTATCACCATCAACGCTAATGCACGCTTTTCTCTGGCCCCCACTTTGTACCTGGAACTCTAGGAAGTCCAGGTGGGTAGGGGAGCGCATATAACTCACGAAAAAACATCTCAATTACAGTGAACTGTTAGACAGCCCCACTCCCTGGGAACAAAGAAACTGGTGGTCAGGAAATCCTAGACATAGAAAACATTGAGGTTTGAGAGCTGATTATCAGGGTGTGGGTATACGGATCTGATACCCCTTTCCAGGGAAAAAGCGTTTTCTCTTAGCCCAAATGCAGACTTCCATTGGTGCATTTGACCAATGGGCTGTTCTACAATTTTCCTCTGGACACATCTGCCTCCCCTGCTATTTTTGCCCCTCTGGGTCTCCAGTGCCCCATCCTTGGAAAGACCAGACGCCTGAGCTTATGCAGCGAGCTCAGTGCTGGGTTCTTTCCTGAACTAAGGAGGGAAGCTAGAAAAAGGAAGGGAATGGAAATCAGCGTGAAGTCATCGCTCACATTTCATTCAAAAGATACTGCAAGTTTGCACATGTTTTCTTGATATTAGGAAGTGTGCATTTAACACATTTTAAGGCAGTAACCTATTTATCCTGGAGTAACCTATCTACCCATAGAGCATGGTGAACATCAATGGTGAACAGTGACACTGGCGAGATACTCTTGGCCTTCAGAGAACTTGCAGGACAAGTTCCCAGCTGACGAGTGAGGATAAGTAATCTCTTCCCCAGCCCACCTCTATCCAGGCCCTGGTTATTTATTGGCTTAAACATTTGTGATCTCTGATAATTCTCCAGACCTCAGGAGGTTATGTAATTATTTTAAAGATGAGAAAATCTCAGCATAAAAATATTAAGTAACATGGCCACAGGAGTCACCTGTGTCCCTGGCCTGGATCCTGTTATCTGAGTTTGCTCCCTACACTCTGCCATTTCCCCTCTGCCATCTTCTCTTCCCTCCAGCCTAATCCTTTGAGCTCAGGCTCCCCAACACTGTCTTGCTGTTCCATTCCATCCTCCCAAATGCAGATAGAGAAAAAGCTGGCCATATCTGAAATACCTTTGTCTTTTTTAGAAGGCCAACTATTGCTATTCCCTCTGTGTTGGTGAAAGATGATTTGGTATTTGGAGAGTAATGACAATCCTTTAGCATTGGGATTTGACTTGAGAGTAACCAAAAAAAAAAAATTTAAAGAGGCTACATAGAGCCCAAAATGTGTATGACTCATAGATACACATTTTGATATGAGACAATGGTCAACAGTGATTAAGTCTTCCTAAGTGAAAGGAATAACAAACAATGAATTTGATACTTATGCTGTTAATGCATGAAAAATTACTTTTATTTGATACTTCTACATGTGTGCATGTGTTTGTGTTTTATGGAAAATTTCATTATCACATTACATGATGACTCAGAATAAATCATTTACATTTCATTCAAAAGATACTGCAAGTTTACACATGTTTTCTTGACATTAGGAAGTGTGCATTTAACACATTTTAAGGCAGTAACCTATCTATCCTGGAGTAGGTCATGTGTAAGCACCTAGGTACCCCGGCAAGGTGGAGTTAGAAGACAGAAATGAGGCTGAAAGAGAGAAAGTCATGATGGTGACAAAGGCATCTGGGAAATGACAAAGTGTCATAGATGCACTCAGCACAGAAATGTGAGGCTTACAGTGAGCTCTTCCAAAAAAGAAATGAGCTGTCTTGAGGGCATGGCAGATACTGCGTGGTTAGAAAGTTGTATGGGTTGTTGAAAGTTTTAGCCAAAAACAAAGTAGGAGTATCGCCAGGATAAAAAAAGAGAAACAATAGGGAAAAATGTACCATAACTTTTAGTGGTTGAGGTGGAAAACTTTGGACTTAACCTTGACTTTATACAAACAGAGTAAGAGCATTATGCACTGAGCACACCATGGGGGGGGGGGAGGAACAAGGCAGGGATGGACCAGGACACCCCTGAGACACTTAGGTCCACAGGCCCAAGACAGGAGGCTTAATGATTCCAAGAAGGAGAAGGGAGAGAAGCAGGAAGGAGAGGAGAGAAGTTGGAAGAAGAGGAGGCAGAGGAGACGGGAAAAGAGGAGGAGGGTGAGGAGGAGCTGGTCCAGGAAAAGAACAGTGCAGAAACATGGCTTAAGTTGTTCCTGGCAGGGTGCTTTTCTAACAAGGCTCTCAGGAGAGGTATGAGCCCTCAAGATCATCCAGCTAATGCCTATCTAACACTGAAACCACTCCTCGGATACTGTTTTAAGTCTTTATGTATTAACTCGTTTAATCTTCATCTCAGCTCTATGTAGTAAGTACTATTATTATTCTCATTTTACAGATGAGAAAAGGGAGATGTAGCAAGGTAACACAGCTGCAAATACTGAACCAAGGCTTGAACCCAGGGAGCATGGCCCTAGAATCCTCCATTCTTGTTTGCCTTTCTGAAGAATGGTATAAATGACACACATCTGCACTTGTGGTTAAATGCTAGAGGGCACACCCAGGTAAAAGACGGGAGTTATGTGCAGGGAGTTTTGAATAGGCAGAAAAGCATATGCTCTCTCCCAAGCATTGATACAGGCTCCAAGCTGGGAAGAGAAAGGACACAACTTGGAGAGGAAGAAAGAGATGCACGAGCATTGTGAGGGGCAGCCACCTGAACCTCAAATCCCCCTGGAAACACATCCTTCAGTGGATATGAGCTGTGACAATCCCCTTTTATCATCGAGCACAGGGTCAACAGAAACTCTGCTCCCATGTTGGGTGACATCAGGGCTAAGCACGACTCAGGGAAGTCTCCTGCACCATCCTGGGGTAGAAGCTGCAGGGTAGAATGACGACAAGGCCTTCTCGGCTGGAGAGGGCTGGGGAGAGTTTCTACAGCCTTGTTGTGTCAAGGGGATATCCCCGAGGATTCACACTATCCTGAATGGGTGGGGTGTGTGAGGCAGTTGAAGGAAAAAGACTCAGGACCCAGAATGGCAGAGAACTTATTGGCTAGGAGGTGGGTGATTCATTAGGATGGTGGGTGTAGACGGTGCCTCTCTGGGTTAAGGCATACTGTGGCTACATCTCAGGGGAATATAGCAGGGCGGGAGGCAGGTCTAGGTCCAAAGAGCACTGCAGACTTGACATGGTTCTACCACCACTGACCACATCCATGCATGTCTCAGACAAGAGGCAGCAGGGCTAGAGATGACCCCAGACTGAGAAATGGACACCCAATCCCCATCTTCCTTGCAGGGACATGTGTGTCAGACTCCAAAGTGTAGTGTCAACTGCAGGGGGCAGGAGAGGATGATGGCTAACAGACATAAAAGTGGCTGTGCTTTAAGCTTCGAGGGACTGGGAAATGGCTGCATTTGATTGGGGCTACCCAGGAATGTCTAGATGAAATGCTTTCCTTGACCACTCCCACTTTCCACATCAGGCAAAATGAGGGTTCTGAGATGAACCTCTAGTAAATGACACCAAACAGTTATTTGCACATGAGTTGTGTCCAATAAAGCTCCCCATTGTATGTACTGGGGATTTGGTCATAACGTCAAGTCAATAACTTTTAAAATCTTTAAGCCCAGGCTGCCTTATTCTAATGAGGATTTCCAGGAACTTGGGTTTTCAAATTCTGACTGTGAATGGCTATAGGATTTTTTTTAAAAAAATTTCTCCCATGCTTAAGCTGAGGGGATTTCATTAAAGCTGATTGATGTTCCTAAAAGATTAACATTGTTATTTAACTAGCTTTTCCTCTTGAAATCCTAATAATTTGCTAAATAACCTGAGACAGTGCTGCCCTTTAAGTCATAAATATTCTTTTTTTTTCTTTTTTTTTGGAGAGATTTTTGCTATAGGGTGCGTGCGTTCACCAGACATACAGAGAGAAACATTAGAGACAGAAAGCGAGAAATCACCCCCCAGGGGGGGATGGTCACGCCGCAATCCCTTCTCCTCCATTCTCCTCTCGGGATCTTGGGCACGCACGTACACGTGCCCGGCGTGAGTTTTAAACCACCGGGTCCGGGACGCGAACGGCAGTCGACTACATGGGAGTCCAGCGACGTAGCCATTACGCTAACTGCTGGTTCCCATAAATATTCTCTTTTGAGGCTGAATCCATTATAGTGCTAAAATTCTGAATTTCTTGATTAATTCTCCATACTTTAAAAGTAGTATTGCTTTGGAAGTATGGTCTATAATTAAGTGTTTTCTGTAAAAAGAACCATTTTCCTGTCAATTTTATCAAGTTAGCCGTTTCTCCACATTTTCTTTTGCCATGGTAAAGAAAAGTCACATTTTAAAAGCAAAGTCTTCCAAACAGCATCAAATCTTTCAGAAGGATTTTAGCATCTTGTGGCATCCTGGGGCTGAAGAGTGCTTCAAGTTCTACAACTATAAGATGGGAAGTACATACAATGAACTTGATGAGGTTTAGATGATTCTGAAATTTATTTCTGAATTTATTCACAATACCAAATTAGTTGCCATAACATGTCATTCTCATGATAAAAGGGTGGAGAGTACTCCTCACCCAAGAAAGGTTTATTTAGTTTTAATTTATTGCTAGGTTACTATAAAAAGAATGTTCAAAAATTCAGAAACCATGTGTTTTTTTTCTATATGCTTCACATTATCCTATTATGATATAATTACTATCTGAATTTTTAAATTCTTTCTTGGGAAAGGACAGTGGTTCATGGTTATAAAAGGACTTGTGGAGCATGAGGGACTTCAAATGGTGGGGTTACTCTACAGTGGACATAGGGTTCGGGTGTGAGCTCTTTAAATTCAGTTAAGTTATGGGATTATATATTTTTGTTTGCAAACTTTCAAAACATCTCTAATCAAGGGACCAGCAGTTGTTGTAACAGCTATGTTGCTGGACTCCCATGTAGTTGACTGTGGTTTGAGTCCCGGACCTGGTGGCTTA